TTATAAAACTAATAACAGGGGCGTTGCACCGTTGTGGCAGCAGTTAAAAACGCCTTTCTAATATTCCAATAGTTGAACGCAGCGATTATTTATACTGCCTTTCGCTCCAAATGTACGCTCAAATGCTCAAAACATACTATCTGAATCGAAAAGTGAGCAGAGTGCAACTACTACTCATAAAGCAAATAAAAGTGCAGTTGTCGGGAGAACCCCACTATCTTATACCTACATCGAGAAAGGAGACTATATATTTGATTGTAGTACCTATAACAGATCGGTATAGGCCTATATACCGACTCAGCTCATTGTCCTGATCGACGGAATATTCACGTGATGTCTCTACCAACCATTCTCTTCTGCATGCAATGCAATTGGATGTAATTGCCCAAATCAGTTATACCCTGACTTTTAGATTCTTAACGAGTTCCGGGTATAAAAACAACAAAATGCAAATACTAAAGCTTTTCTACAGTCTCTGAGAACGTTATTCGGGAATTAAAGAGAGCGTTCGATGTTTGAGTGCTTTCTTGGAACTCTCTGTCGATGCATTTGGCGCTGGAATATTAGTAGACGGTTCATTGACCCCGTTTAGCTATGGTTATTAGTGCGCCCATTGTGAATGGTGCTCGAGACTGATTACGTTTATTATCATGCCAAGTTTACATGAACTTAACTTGAACTTTAATTGCCTTTCAGTGTCAATGATAAACGTCAATACATATTGGAACAGACCAAGACTTACTAGCTTACTAGCTTAATTCCCGAGTTGTTGCTAAATCGTCCTACCACGTTATCAATACTAATTAATATCCATGTTTGGAAAGTAACTAATGGACGTCGAAGCTCGAATGGACGTATTCCAATTGTTAGTGAGGAATAGTAAATAGATGTTTCATATTACAAATCAAAAATTCAATTTTAAATTTGAAAGAATTTGAGCTTTATATAAAATTAGAAATCTCTTGAAAAATGTTAAAAAATAAGATTAGACGATGGCGATCTAAAGATTGATGATCGTGCCTCATTATCAACAATAGATTGTAAATTTAATATCGTTTCTGTTATCGCATATGCCATATGTCATAAATATCTAAGAAGAAAAGGCCTATTTATATCTATCTGTATTAATAACAAATAGTGAAATAAATTGAAATTGAAAATTGATATAGAAATATCGTTTCTAAGTCGCTATAGCAATATAAAAGATTGGCCTTTTATTCATTTGGGTACTTCGGTATTTAAATTATTTGCTGTGGTTTTCTGCCTGTGTGGTGACAAAATCTTTAAGCAAACACAAATGGGTTTTTGTCAGAGTGATGTGAAGGGAGCAGTTAATAGTTCTGGGAATCCGCATACTATATGCTGCAGTAGTTAATTGTCAAACTTATTGAGATTTTTCTTAAAAGGATTATATTTACACTATGTAGGGTTAGTAAATACTTTTTTTTTTTTAATTTTCCCGTTACGTACAGTAAAATAAATCTAGTATTTATTGAGCTCACATGTTTAACGGGGTAAGTGTAGTAATAATTATACTTATTGAGAGATCAAACGTTGATTTGTGCTGTTTCATTTTCATCCGATGCTTCTATTCGGCAAGCTTTTAGATGAGCTTTTAAGTAAAATGTGAGACATCTAATTATAGAATATTCTCTTGCAATTTGCATCGTTGATTGATTTAGGAACTCCAATGAAAACCAGTTTTTCTAACCAAACACAGAACAAAATTTATTAAAATTTGTGCAAATTTGTTATCAGAACACAATAATTTCATTGGTCACAATGATACAGCTATTATTATAATTAATAGTTGTGACGCAGCAGAATTGATAATACCGATAAATCAAAAATGTGTATTTTTGTTTGCTTTGATATTTTTATCAAGTACATGTGATAAGAGACTTTTTAAAATCCTTGTAGTGCGCCACGATTGTGCAACCAAGGTAGAATTTCCTGGATATGTTTGCGGTAGCGAGCATTGTTATATAGCAGAGTCTTGAAGTCTGCGCCCTCTGTGCTGTCACTGAGAAAGTTGTCCAGGTTAGCCGCATCCGTGGGGTCTACCAAAACAGCGGTCATCACACCTGTGGCGGTCAGGTATCCTATGAAATGAATAATAAAACAATTTATTGTCATAGTAAAAGTTATATAATGAACCATCATCAAATGCTCACCCCAGAAGCCGTACTTAAAGAGTGTTATATGCAAGTCACGCAATGTGGGCACATCCTTGGAATACTTCAGTGTCTTCAGATTTTCCAGTAGATTATCGTGATAGAACTTAATGTAGTGATCGAATTTTGTGAGCTTATCCTCTAACTTGGTCGAGGATATAAGGAAATAATAAAGATCTTGCGCAACGCAGCCCCATTTAGGTAATTGGAAATCCACCAAACATATGTCCTTAATCTTGCCAAAGGAATCGTGCGAGAACATCATATTGTTACTCCAGAAGTCTCCATGGTTGAGCACATTCAAATGCTGCGAATCGACTTTAACCACTTTGAATATTTCATCCGTTACTTTGGGCAGCAACTCTATCTAAGAAATATCTATTAATATAGCAATACATCCTCTTGTTAAGTTTATCAATTTGATTCACTTACTATTTGGTCTATGTACTCCTCGTTTCCCTCGTATTGCTTGCAAGCCTTCAGAAAGCTTTGCGAAAGGCTTTTATTCATCGCATCCATAGTTGGACGCAGTTCCTCTTTGTAGAAGCCACATGTTACGTTATCTGGATAGTCACCCTTGGTGGCCACACGCACCATGGATGCGGCATGCCACATCGAGAGTCTTTTGAGGGCGCATTCTGTGTGCGCTTGATCCAAACCCTCGGTGCGATTGGTGTTCTTGAAGCCCTTAGGTGCCAGATCCTCGAGCAGGATATAATCGGACTTGGCGCCATTCAGCTCGTAAGCCTTGGCACCAAATTTCACTTCCACACCAACATCCCGATAGATTTGTTCCAATTCAGGCACAATCGTCTTGTACATGATGAACTCTGTTTCAAAAATGTTGTTCGCCTCCAACATCTGCTTGTACATATCTGATTGAAGTGGCAGCTTCAGCATAAACGATATTGACTTCTCTTCACCATCTAAAATAGTGTCACATATTGAGCTTTCAGATAAGTAGATTGTAGTGCCTACATACCCTCCAGCTCGACATCTATGTTCACACGCAACATGATCGTCGCATAGTTTTCACCTGCTGCTGAGCCGCTGTCGGCCTTGAAGCTCTTGATTTTGGAGAAGCCTTTGACTGTTTCTTTCAGCACATCTACAAACAGTTCGGGCTGCACCCAGTCGGGTACATTGCTGGCGGGGGAATCGGGCTTTGATTCACTTGACATGACAATGATATAATTGAGATAATCAAATCAATTCAACGGTCGTTGCGTAGTTGTGTTTCCCGTAGCTAACAGCGTGCTTCTAATGATCCAATAGTTTTTGCGCAGCGTCTATTTATACGGCTGCTCGCCTCCAAATGTAAGCCCCAACTGCTCAATATGAACCTAAAAATGTGAAGAGCGCAACAAGTAATACCAGAACAATATAACAACAAAATACACAAACCGAAGCTTTTTGACTCTCTGAAAACAAGAGCTAGTGAAATACATTGAATGAAGTTGCTTAGAACTTTCGGAGAGCTTTCGTGATTTCTGATTGTTTCTTGCAACTATCTAATACTTCTCTTGGCTCTATATTCATATTCATTGATAGTTCCTTAAGCTCAAAGAATTTTTTCTTCAACTTTTCCCATGATTAGATGTTCCATATACAGTTTGTTATCATAACAAATTGAAGTTAATCTTAATAGATTTATTGGGGTACAATATTATAGTAAGTCAATGGGCTAATAGCTCAATACTTGTCTGAGAGTATAAATAATCTGTAAACTTACTCTCATACAAATTTAAATTACTACTATATGCCCTTCCATTTCATCATTACATAGAGCGATGTTTGCTTAAATTTAATTGGTTTGCAACTTTAGCTCGATTAGCTATGATTGTGAAATAACAATTACACGGAATATTAGAGATAATAAATACATATATATTTTTAGAGCCACAAAGTAAGTTATCAATATATTTGAGAACTGACAGGCTTAATTCAATAAACCGCAGCAAATAAAGACAAGATAAGAAATCAAAGTATCTATATATTACTGGCAAGAGGTGCATTGACCAAGTGTATAAGAACTTCATTCATACTTTGTAGACAACAATATGCTGTTGAGTTGTATATAAATTTAAAATTCGACAAAGAAACGTTAATCTATTTTTGTTCCTAAATTTCAGTTTTTATTTAATAATAGTATAAACTATACATTTAAATAGTCTTTTATTTACCGATCCTTGAGAATATTGAATCAATGCATCTCAATTTTGTAATCATCAACTGGAATAATTTGAATTCTATTTGATCTAATAGACAAACATATTTTTATTTTCATCTTTTATTTTGATATTAATTTCAAAACAGTTTACAATAATTCAGAATATATTAATTCTGAATATATTAATTTCTAGACAAGACAGCCTTTTCCTGTAACTCAATAGCTCCATGTGCTTTATTAGCTGGTCATAAGACTATTTGAATCAAATCAAATTTGTTTATTCTTATCTTCAACTTCGGCACTGATAACAGAAAATAAATTAAATCAATTGCAACACTTCCATATTTGCACATTTGATAGTCAACCAGATATGAATGCACGTACAAATTTGTGCATTGCATTAAAACTAACATTATTAATACACTAGCTAATATTAATTATTGTGCGCCCTGCTGCTAGAGATTAAGCATCTACACTGCTATCTGCCCCATAGGGTAGAGGGCCAGTCGGAAAAACATTAATATTCCACTGTTTACAAGAACTGATAAATTGTACAGTGAATATTTTCTCTTAAGATTGTTTAAAAAATAATATACTTTATAAAATTAATTTTATATTTAATTTCACTATGAGCACTATTAAAAATGTCAATAATCTGTAAGTTAGTGCTTTAATCATTGTAATTGTATGTCTTTGGCGAAATTCTTGAAATAAATCACGTATACTGAATGGAAATTGTTTATATTGTCTCTTTTTGAAGAGCACCTCGATTGTGTAGCCAGGGCAGCACAATCTTTAAGTGCTCTTTGTAGGTCTTGCCGTTGTATAAGAGAGTTCTGAATGCGTCGGCCTCTGGCGAATCGGAAAATAAGTTATCAAAGCTGGCTGATTCCGTTTCTTCCAGCAAACTTGCAGCCATCACATCACACACCGCCATATACCCTGTAAAAGACAAAACACCTGAAAGCAGTTTATAAAACCATATTCGGCATACAAAAACTTACCCCATATTCCGTTCTTAAACAGGGATTTATGTATGTCTATTAGACTCGGAAATTTTTTATTGTAGCTCAACAACTTCAGGTGCTTTATCAGCTGATCGTAATACTGCTTGACGAAGTAATTAAATTTATTTACTTTGATTTCCAGTTTAGTGGATGATAACAGAAAAGAAATCAAGTCGATGGCGACGCTTCCATATTTACATATTTGATAGTCAACTAGATAAGAGTCCAACAGTTTTCCCGATTCTCTATCATAGCGAAACATAATGTTACTCAGCCAGCAATCAGAGTGGTTTAATACATTTAACTCTTCTGGATCAATGACACCCACTTGTAGAATTTTGTCTGTAATGTGACCGGCCAAGTTTTTTATATCGTCATAGTACACCTCATGCCCGTCAATTGTCGTAAGGGTATCCAGTATGTATGGGACCATATTATCTGTCAATTTACTTATCAACCTTTTACCATCATCATTGAACATACCATCACTTATATGTTTAGGATAGGCACCTTTCCTATCCACTCGAACAGCAGAAGCGGCATGCCACTGAGCCAGCTTAGTTAGCACTGATATTGTATGTTCCTCATCGATTCCTGCCTTACGAATAACTGACTGGAATCCCCTAGCTCGTAGATCCTCTAGCAGTACATGTTCATTCGGTGTATCGAGTTTATAGCACCTGGCCCCAAACTCAACCTCTAAGCCAACATCTAAGCAAGCAGCTCTATGAACTCTTCCACATATATCATGAACATGTCCCGTTCGATGTCGAACACGCTGAACTTGTTCTTTCCACAAGTTGAATGATATTCCTCAGATGTTAGTGGTACTTTTAGCATGTACGAAATGGATTTTACTGTGCTATCTTGAAAGATTATGTATATACATTTTGATTTAGAGCCTTTCATTTGATTATAGATCTTAGCTGTAAATCTCACTGACCTTTTAGTTGCACTTCAAGTTCTATACGTAGCATAACCGTTGCATAATTATCACCGGGTTTTGTGCCAGGCATCGCCTTAAATGATCGGATATTTCGAAAGTCTTTCAATGTATCCTTCAACAACTGCTCAAAAAGTTCCGCCTTCACCCATTCGGGTATCTCGACGCTTGTATCATTTGTTGTGGTTGTTTGACTACTCGACGACATTTTTCAAGATTTTCAAACAAAGACAAATCAGTAGTCGTCAATGTGACTTCTGTGGAAGAACTGAAACTAATAGAGCTGATCACCGTTTATAGCATATGAGAGAGCTTAAAGCTCTCACAGTTATAATGCAATGTAAGTACTTAACAAATAATGCAAATTCTATTATATTTACTCTTAAGCTATAAATTTACTAAATAAAAAAAGAATTAATTAGCTTGTAACTGTTAATGTTAACTATGAGTAAACCAGTTTACTTGTGCTAAAAATGTAGGTATACTGCATTTAGTTAATATTATTTTATTATTTTTACTTCACAGTTTACTATAAAAGAAGATTTTAATTTCTAATTGAGCTTTACCTTAGTTAACATAGCCTCTTTGAATAAGCCAAGGTAATATAAGCTTAATTTGCTTCACAAAGCTGGGATTTGTGAACATTTTACGCTTAAAGTCCAAAGCCGTCTCTGAGTCGCCCATAAAATTCGTAACATTTGAGTCAGGACTGGGGGGAAACAGCGTTACGGGAAGCATTCGTTGAGCGCATACAAATGCTAAAATTAAAAGGAATGGAATTGGTACAAAATATAAAAATAAAACAATGATAATAACTCTATCCTTTTTGGTACAATGTACAGACCCCAGAGACTGTGCCGTCGTAGATTCTCATGTAATTCCGTCAATGTCGGCATTTTCTTAGCATACTTGAACAACTTCAGATGCGCAATAAGCTCTTCGTGATAATACTCTATGAAATCATCGAATTTCTCCAATTTAATGTGTATATTAGGTGTTGTCATCAACAAACAGAACAAGTCGTGAGCCGGTGTACCATATTTTGGCAATTGAAAATCCACAAAGCAAATATCCTTGATCTCGCCTGCATTCAGTTGAAAGAGGAAATTATTGCACCAGAAATCTCCATGATTAAGCACATTAAGCTCGGATTTGTTTACACGACCAAAATCCAAATACAGATCTGTCCGGCGATCCGTGTAATTGGTCTGAAATAATTAGCAAAGAATATTTGGCACTGAACTAATCTTTGAATTCCTTTAAGATTAATAATCGTTGATCAGAGAACACTATATATAATTTATAAAATTATAAATGTACATATTTTACAAATTTGTACATCTTCTTTACTCACTATCAACTGCTGTTGACCAGGCTCTAGCTCGTAATACTGCTGCATGCACTCCAAAAAGGGCACATTGAATGTTATATTCGATTGCTCGATCCATTTTAGGCACTCCTCTGACATATAACTTTTCTGATAGGTTTCTTCATAGTCGCCCAGCTCGACGACTCTTTGAGCGGAGGCTGCATGCCATTGGGCTAATTTCTTAAGCACGGCCTTGATTTCCGTTTGTCCCAGGCCTATCATACGCTCGAGATTTATGTAGCCCTGCGAGCGCAAGTCTTCCATCAATATATAGTCACAGTTGGGCGGGTTCTCGAACTTCAGATGAGCGGGCTTGAATCTCACAGAGAGCTCTGTATGCTTGGCATACAACTGCTCGAGCTCGGGCACCAAACGCTCGTACATATCAGCCTCAGCGATAAACAATTCATGAAAGTCGTGCTCATCGCCACGATCATTGACCAATGGAATTTTCAGTATGTAGCTCTCCGCTTTGCTGCTGTCATCTGGTGGTAAATATATTGTACATATGGAAATATATTGTCTATATGTATGTATGCGTCACTGACCCACCTCTCAGTCGCATTTCAATGCTGATTCTCAACACAATCGTCAAGTAGTTTTCCCCTCCACTGATCGCTGAAGTGCACTCAAATTTTTGTATTGTATCAAAATCTGCGTAATTCTGTTTCAGTAAATCACTGAAAAGCTGTTGGTTTACCCATTCCGGTGCAGTTACAGTCATTTGTTATTTCGATATGTGGACCGTTTGGATGCGATTGTGTGTAATACTTCCAAAGCTCAAGTCGCAACTGAGCGAAAGCTCTTTTGTTCAGCGTTTAATAGAGACTACATCTGATAAAAGCTCTAAAGAGATCGAACTTCCGCTCATAAATATTTCTCAGCTTAATGGAAAAAATGCCTATGTTCATGAGACTATACTGCAATTTTTCATATGTATGTATGTATGTTCTAATAGAAGTTACTTTTATCACTTCGTTATCTTTTATCAGAACAAAAAATTAAATCTTTACACGACATGAACACAAACATGTACCACCTAGATATTATATTTATTATTTTCAATTTATTCTTATCTTAAATACATATCTTAAGCATCGCTCATTCATATTCATCAAAACGTTTGCCTTCTTTTGATAATATATATAAACATTCAATGTTTGCTTTGGTAACTAGTTTCTTTGGCTTATTTTATGCTTAACGCTTAACGCTTAACGCTATGCATGTAGACATGTCGCCTCAGTTTATCTGGCCTGGCAAAGTCTTTGGCACAGAACGTGCACTGATAGGGTCGTTCGCCTGTGTGTTTGCGCCGATGGACTTTCAGTTCATAGTGCACGGTGAAGGACATGTCGCAGAGATCGCATTTGAAAGGTTTTTCGCCATTGTGTCGGCGCATATGTATGTTCAACTTGTTGGGCGTCAATGACTCCAGACCGCACAGTGAGCAAAGATACTTCTTGCCCGGATTCTTTTTGGCGACATGCATGTCGCGTATGTGCTTGTCCAGGCTTGGTTGTACAACAAAGGACCGCCAGCAGTGTGGACATTGATACCTAAACCGTCGACTTCGCTTGGTCGTCACAGGCGCCTGACTGGATGACTTGGAATGTTGGGTCGACATGTGCAGTTCTAGATTTTCCTGCCACATGAATTTGTAGCCACAGCGTGAGCATTTGAATTTCTTTTCCTGGTTAAGGCATTGCGTTCGCAAATGATGCTCCAGCATAGTCTGCCCAATGAATAATTACTGTTAATATTACCATTTTGTTTTTACTTTGGAGATCGTTAGATTTTACCTTGTCTACGGTCTTGAAAATACAATGCTCGCAGGAATAGGGCAACTTGTCAAAGGTGTGCAGAGAATACTGATGCTCACTCATGTCGCGCCGCCGCTGAAAGTTCATGTCGCATAAAGCACAGCGATAAGTTCTACCAGAACCTACAGCTTCATCGTCGCTCTCGTCCGTTTCATCCAGAAGCAGCTCAAAACCCTCTTCGGTGCTTATCATATAGTTGGGCGCCTCTTCAGTGTGGGCCTGCATCGAGATGTGCCGTCGCAGATCGCCAATTGTAATGAAATGCATGTCGCATAGTTTGCATAAGATGGATTTTGGTCCGGGAGTCTTGGCAGCATCCGCTAGTAGTGTCTCTGCCAAGGGTAGATCCTCACCTCTGAACCCATGCCGCTGTACATGCTTATGCAAAAGCGCGGGTCGATAGAAAGTGCGTGTGCACCACCGACAGGGTAGCAATTCTTTGCTGCCGTCGTGGTGCATTAGCTTGTGCTTGGTCACGGCGCTCTTATCCTGAAAGCTACGTGAGCACTGATCGCAAGGATATGTCTCTTGCTGCAAGATTAAAGATTCAGACCAAGGTTACATATTCAGACCAACATGTTACTCAATTGTAATTTAGACCCACCTTGTTCTTGTGATCCACAAGATGTGCGCGTAAATTGCGTCGCCAGAAAAATCGCTGCGGACATTTGTCGCACATGAACCGTTTGAGCGTGTTCTGACACAGTTTGAGCGTATGCTGATCGAGCAATTGAGCACTCAGGAAACGTGCATCACAACGCTGACAGACATGAGGGGCCTCGAGCCAGGTATGCTCCTGCCGATGGTGTTCGTGCAATTGATATTTGCGTGGGAAGACGGTCTCGGGTGTTTTACATAGCTCACATGAATAGCTGTGTCTCTCCACAACATCCGCCTCACCATCGCTGTCCGTATCGGAGCTGTCCAGGTTCATCTCATATCGCGCCTCATTTGTTATAGAGTAATAGCGACCGTACATGCCCACTTTGAGATCATTGAAAATTCGCCGTTTTAAGCCGGCAGCTGTGGACTCTACGGCAGTCTTATAAAAGCCCTCTGCAATCCGTTCAATAGGCTCGCCATGTGCCTCGAAATCAAAGTCCTTAGGATGGAATTTTAAATGGTCACGCAACTCGCGCAGCTTGATAAATCTACGCAGACAGATCATGCATTGAATTTCCTTTGAGCCATTTGGCTTGCACCGATTCAAATCGAAGCCTTTGACGCGACGATCGATACGTGAGGGCTTCGACATGGCTGATGTGTCCGTTGCGTATCTAGTTGACGTAGCTTCATCTTCGTCTTCATCGGAATCCTTATACGCCTTGTGCTCGTTGTGCTTGTGCTTGATGAGACTAACAATGTACTTGTAGGACTTCTCGCATTGATCACATTTGTAGTAATTATCTGCACTAGAGCTATCTGCATCATCCTCATCCGGAATGCTATGTAAAGTGACATTACGTGAATATGTTTCTATACGTGTACAGTATTCATTAAATTACGTGATCTCCTTTATGATGCTGTGCACAAGGGAATCTGTGCTTTTCGGCTTCGAGCGCTGAGGCTGTGATTTCTGGGTTTTATCCTCAATTAGCTTGGGTTGCGTAGATATCTGGCTGGAGGCATGCGCCTTATGCTTATGCTTGATAAGAAGCATTATATACTTGTAAGACTTATCGCAATGATCGCATTTGTAGTAATTATCGACGGATTCGTTATCCAAGCTAAACGAAAATTAGATAATAAGTGAAGCGAAAGATACTTCACAAATAGAAACATACTTTGCCGAACAGCTCTTGCTCTCAATAGAACTGGAGAGCTCTTCAGCCTGATTAGGCGTCTCCTCTACTTCTTGTAGTTTAGATGAACTGTGATCTCGTTGCTTGTGCCTGAAGAGATTGGTTACATATTTAAAGGACTTGTCGCATTTATTGCACCTGTGCAGCATGGGAAATTTCGTCTGAGTTGCCCGGCGCTGTTTTAGGGGTACATCATCATCGTCATCATCACTGCTGTCATCATCCACATTGGTTTTCTTAATCAAAGGATCAATTGTGTTTGTTGGATCCGTTGTTGACGGCGTGACAGGCTCTGTGGACTCTTCCATTTTAATTGTTATGCCCTCAATATCCAGCAATTGTATTGGAGTCTCGCGCAAACACTCTAAAGTGGCTGTTTCTGTATCCCCTGAGAGACATTCTCTTGAGAGCTTTTGCAGCCATAGCTCATAAGTATTACGAGCCTGCTGAACAAAATCGTATGCATTCTCTAACCTCTGAGAACAGTTGTGGCATATCCAGGGCGGCAACTTGTCAGCTTGATCTAAACCAATCTGCAAAAACAACATACATATGTATGTAAAATGCTTCTCCAATCAATTTGATGACTTTGGGGGTGGTGGGCTAGATGGTTACCTCGAGCTTTGTTAACTCCAGCAGCAATTGATTGTAAGTTTTATCTGCGTATTTATCGAATGGCGTCTCGATCCAATAACGTCCATTTGTATCACCACAGACTCTGCACGTTCTTGTCATTGTTTGATGCGATTATAATTTATAATCGTATCTACAACTCCAATTTGCTCAGACGCCAATCAACTTGCCAATTATATATACAAATAGTGGTGGGTTTCAATGTGGACACACTGGTGAGCAACAGCTGTTTACAGACAGCTGACCAATTATCGATATGTTAAGCTATCGATGCTGCAATGTTTTTCTTACATTAGAACTTGGTTATCATTGTGCGACTGTAATGTTTTTCATTTAAAAGAGGATATATTTCTCAACATTGTGAAACATGTTACCGACAGATATTTGTCGTACATGCACATTGCATGATGATTGCTTGTTTCCGCTTACGACCCGCACAGATAAATATGAAAATAAAAGTTTAAATGAAATGTTACTTGAATTGACACAAAATGATGTAAGTAAACAGTTAATTAGGCAGCGTGGTATTTACTTGTAACTTGTCATTTGCAGCCCCTGCTGGAGCATACAGATGACAGTCTGCCGCAGCACTTGTGTAGTGGCTGCTTGCACAAGTTGGAGGCTGCGTACGCGTTTGTATTGCAAGCGCGCCACGCTCAAGAGCAATTGTTGTTGCAGCTGCGCAAAAGCTTGCAGCCACAGTGCTTGGATGAGATGCCCATAGACATTAACTTGCAGCACATAAAAACTGAGATGATCGTTGACATGCAACCTGCTAGCAAAGCGAAGAGTGAAGAAGATGAGGCGGAGGCTGAAGAGAGGGAGCAAGATATGGCTGTAGTGGCAATTCCTGCCCTGAAATGGCAGCCAAACAGCGACAGTGAGAGCAATCAGACTGCTGCTCATGAGTATGTAATTTGCTTAGTTTATAATTAACTTGTATATTAAGTTTTATTGACTTACAGGCAGGATATAGACTTTAAGCCCAAGCAGTTGCGGCGCAGCGCACGTAAAGCCAAAACCTACACAGATAGCGAAAATGAAGCAACGTAAGCTACATCAAACATAGTATTGTATGATATGACTATAACTTGTCCGATAGATCTACCGATGCGACTTCCTTGCCCATCAAACGGCGACGTGGTCGTCCAGCACGTGTTAACACGGAGGCGATTAACGAAGAAGGACGGCATGTGTGCGAGGTTTGTGGAAAGAGCTTCTCCTGGTACCGCGACATGCAGCGCCACACGCGCATTCACTTCGAGCAACCGACCTTCGTGTGTGACAGTTGTGGCAAGAGCTTCTTGCGCAAAGACAAATACATGTTTCATCTGCGTTCGCACGAAAAGCGAGCAGCCAAGTGTCAGGCCACGCAATTGAGCACCGAGTGGTGTTTTGCTGAACGTCTCTACAACTCCGGCCGACTCAAACAGGCGGAGTGCAAATTGTGCGGCTCGAAATACCAGCGTATAGGGGAGCTGCGCGAGCATATGGCGTGCCATAAGAGCATTGAGACTTTGTCGAAGCTGAGTCTGGAGAGCGACG